TGGGTACAAAACTAGTAGGCAAATCGAGGAGGTGAGCAGGGAGGGCTACTGGGAGTGGGAAGAGGTGGAAAATGGAGGGTATGGGAGTATGAGGGTGGGCACACTCAGTGTAACAGAGTGTCATGTACAATGAGTGTGCATAATGAAAAAATTAAACGATAAAAACCTTTTGTTTTACAGACCAAACTAAAGCCAATCGAATCAAACCTACCAGTGTTGTCTGACAGGAACATATATCACTTTTCGTCACCCCTAGAGGGAGTATATTCTATTAATATTTTTTAAATGAATTCAATTTATACCTTGTCATGGGCCCCTTCCTCCTTTCCTCCCAGTCCCTTATCCCTTCTCTCCTATTCCCCAGAATAAGGGAGCCCCCACCCAGATACCCCAGTTCATCTATTCCCATGAGGGAGGACTGAGTTCATCTCCCTCCCCTGTGGCTTTATAAGGAAGGTCCATCAGGGGAAGTGATCAGAAAGCAGGCAACATAGTCTGTGTCAGAGATATCTCCCACTGCCCTAACTAGTGGACCCACAGGAAGCCTAAGATGCCAATCAGACTTATCTTCTTGGCGTCTGTGCATTGTAGCGTATCTATCCTGTACTATATGATTAAAATCCTCTTACAAGTGAGTATACATACCATATGTGTCTTTCTGGGTCTGGGTTACCTCACTTAGGATGATCTCTTCTAGTTCCATCCATTTGCCTGCAAATTTCATGATTTCCTTGTTTTTAATGGCCGAGTAGTATTCTGTTGTGTAAATGTACCACAGTTTCTTTATCCACTTTTCAGCTGAGGAACATCTAGGTTGTTTCCAGATTCTGGCTATTATGAATACAGCTGCTATGAACATGGTTGAGCACATGTCCTTGTTGTACAGTAGAGCATCTTTTGGGTGTATACTCAGGAGTGGTATAGCTGGGTCTTGAGGTACGGCTAATCCCAGTTTTCTGAGAAAGTATCAGTTTGATTTCCAAAGTGGTGGTACAAGTTTACATTCCCACTAGCAACGGAGAAGTGTTCTGCTTTCCCCACATCCGTGCCAGCATGTGCTGTCGCTTGAGTTTTTGATCATAGCCATTCTGATGGGTATAAAATGGAATCTCAGAGTTGTTTTGATTTGCATTTCTTGATGACTAAGAATGTTGATAATTTCTTTAAATCCTTCTCTGCCATTCAGATTCCTGTTTAGCTTTGTTTCCCATTTTTAATTGGATTATTTGGTTTGTTGGTGTTTAATATCTTGAGTTCTTTATATATTCTGGATATTAGCCTGGTGTCAGGTAGATGTAGGATTGGTAAAGATCTTTTCCCAATCTGTAGTCTGCCATTTCATCATATTGATAGTGTCCTTTGCCTTACAGAAGCTTTTTAGTTTCATAAGGTCCCATTTATTAATTGTACATCTTAGAGCCTGTACTGTTGGTGTTCTGTTTAGGAAGTTGTCTCCTGTACTAATGAGGTCAAGGCCCTTCCCCACTTTTTCTTCTAACAGATTTAGTATATCTGGTTTTATGTTTAGGTCTTTGACCCACTTGGAGTTGAGTTTTATGCAGGGTTATAAATATGGATCTATTTGCCTTTTTCTACATGTGGGCATCCAGTTAGAGCAGCACCATTTGCTGAAGATGCTTTTTTTTTTTTTTTTCCATTGTATGATTCTGACTCCTTTGTCAAAAATCAGGTGTGCGGTGTATGGCTTTATTTATTTCTGGGTTTTCTACTTGATTCCATTGATCAACCAGCTTATTTCTATGCCAGTACCATGCAGCTTTTAGTACTCTGACATTAATACATTAAAAATCCCTCAGATAGCAGCTTAACAGCAGTTTCCATGACTTTACAAGTGTTCATGATGGGCACTACACCACTGTATTTACATCTGTTAGACTCTCACTGTATTATTACTTCAGGACACATGATTCAGGGACATGCTGCTGAGGAAGGTTGTTCTATTATGCCCCAAGAGGACAGCTGTGCTACTACAAGGCAGTTACTGATGCTGTTTTTGCTTGTTTGTCTTTTCCTTCCACCACGTGAGTCCTGGAATCAAGTTGACAGGCTTGGTGGCAAAGTGCCTTTATCTACTGAGCTACCTGGTCAGCCCCTTTTCGCCTATCAGGTGCTAGTTTTGTACTGATTTTTTATTCAGGCACAGTATTCTCAGAGATCTGCTAAATTTTACTTGTCTCCAAATCTGAGTTAGGACAAATACTCAGGAAGATTGTAACTTCTCTACTGTCCCGTCTCAGTGAATGTTCATAGCAACATTGTAAAAAAAAATGCTGGCTGTGGGTGCCTGGGTTTGTGTCTTTGCTGTGCATGTCTGCCTTTATGTTCACATTGGGTTTTTGATTACTAAAGCTTTAAGTTTTGGAGTCAGGTTTTTGAATGATCTTTGATAAAAATGGATTTGGCTATTTTTATTTTTTGGAAAGTTTCAAACACATTTTTGACTTCGTTTTCTAGTTTTCTGTAGAATGTCATTGGTATTTTGATAAAGCTTGCATTGAAAATATAAATTTTGCTCTGTGTAGCCTGGTCAATAATATTTATTATTACTCCAATCCATGAACATAGGATATCTTTCAAGATTTTTGTGTCCTCTTCAGTTTTTCATTAATGAACTTTCATTTTTATTGTAATCTTTTACCTCTTTTCTTTTTGTTTATTTTTTGATGGTTACTGAAGTGGGATGGCACTACAGTTCTGTTTCAGATAGGTGCTAACTGCACAATCTTTTTGTATGCTGATTTTGTTTTTGATTTCGACAATTTTGTTCTGCTGACTATTAATTCTGTCGTTGTTTGCTGGGGCTTGGCGCTCCTCTATGTGAGAAAACAGCACGGGAAGCTGGATGTGGTAGTGCTCAGCTGTAATCCCACTCTCTCATTTGACGCTGTAGAGTTCCTCATGCTCCCTTCAGATCATCACCCAGTCTCACGGCTGTCAACCTGAAGGGCACACTGACAATCCCCCTGTTACATGTCTATCTGGAACCTTGTCTGCATTCCAGACAGATGTGTTTAATGGAATAATTAGCCAAGACACCATGAGACAGCTAATAGGAAAATCAAAATCAAATGGGAAAATCAAAACCGTTTTTTCAAATACCTACCTTTTGGCTCTAATACAGTCCATCTTAGCATTTACACTATTCACACAGCTAACCTGACCACAGACACCTGTGGAATCATCCTTGATTACTTCTTTCCACCCTATACTTCATGACCAATTTATTAGAAAATAAGAGTTCAAAATATATTCATGACTACCTGATTATTAGCACTGCTTTTATTAACTAGATCACAACTGTGAACTGATTCTTGCAAAAGCCTTTTTAAGCTTGTGCTACCTTCTGCTGTAACATGTGGAGGGTTCTGAAAGGCCTGAAGCTGCTTGTGTCTGCTCCTTCGCTCTGTGTGAGCACTAGTCTCCCACCGCCACTAAGCTGGCCACCTATCTTACTTCACTCAAATCTCTGCTAAAAGGTCAATTTCTCAGAGAGCTTCTCTGATCATTCTATCTTCTACTTATCCAAATTTCACACAGAACACTGACAACTATGTCACAGCTTACTTTAAAACTATATTCCCCATATAAACTACAGCTCCTTATCTTCTTTTCTATATTTAACACAGAAGAGTGCCTATTTTCTCCTTTGTCCATTATTTGGGTTTACCATCATGCATCCTATTTTAATTGCTCAGAGTACAGAAATGACAGTATGTCCTTCCCAGAAATTCCTGACCTAGAAGAAGAGACAAATACAACTACAAGTAAGTGCAACTGATGGCATAAAACACAGTATTTGTTTGGAGTAAGGAGTAGATATGATGATTTTAAAAGACTGGAGAAAGTTCAGCCCCACAGGATTTAAAACAGTGAATGAGTAACTTCTGGTAGGGTAATGATGGTGTAGTGAGGCCTTTCCAACACTGAATGAACAGGCACAGAGGTATGAAGCAACAGGATTTATTTGGGGGAATTATAGTTTGATATAACTGTTATAGTAAGAAAGGTGGCAAGGAAGATGCTAGACAGAACACAAGGAGCCAGATAAAGCCACCAAGGGATAAGGAATGAAGCTTCTCCAGCAGTGAAAGATGTGTCATTTTTTTTTTTTTTTAGATCTTTGGCTTGCCTAGAGCTTGCTTATGTAGACCAGGCTGGCCTCAAACTCACAGAGATACAACTTCCTCTGCCTCCCAAGTGCTGGATTAAAGTGTGTACTACCACACCTGGCTCTGTCATAAATGTATAAAACCTTTTGAAAGATCATGTAACTTGTGGCTTTGCTTCAACTATCTACCTATCCATCTATCCATCTATCTATCCATCTATCTATCTATCTATCTATCTATCTATCTATCTATCTATCTATCTATCTATCTATCTTTCCATCATCTATCTTGTATGTGCTTGTGTACTTGCTTGTGTGTGTGAATGTGCCTGTAGAAGCTAGAAGAGGGTATCAGATCTGTTGGAGCTCAAAATAGTTTCAGATTGCTGTGGGCCACCAAAAGCGGGTGCTGGGAACCAAAGTTGAGTCCTGTGAAAGAACTGCAACACTCTTAAATGCCAAGCCATTTCTCTAGCCTTTACTTTGAATTTTAAAATGTCAGATTTTTAAAAAAGTGATTTATATTTACTTTGTACCCGGTGTTCTGCTTGCATGTATGCCTGCGGGTCAGAAGAGGGCACCAGATCTCATTATAAATGGTTGTGAGCCACCAAGTAGTTGACTGGAACTTGAACTCAGCACCTTTGGAAGAACAGCCAGTGCTCTCAACCTCTGAGCCATCTCTCCAGTTCTAAAGTCAGAGCTTTTTTTTTGGAGCCTAATGACCCTTGAATAAAATGATAATATTAATGACAAGCATGCAATCTAATAATTTAACTTCCTGGTAACAAAAAGCAGAGATCCTACAAAGTCTTAAATAAATAGCTTTATTAGTTATGGGGGATGTTATTAATCATATGCTTCTTCTATACTTGTACAAAAATTTATTAGAATTTGAGAAAACAAAGATTCACTATCATACTTAATACATAATTTGAATAATAAAATAGCATCTTTTATTTTTAAATAGAGAAAATTTATATCTAGTAGCATGCTTATTGAAAACAATGAAATATTTCATTCATTAAAAATGTATCAAGAAAATACATAATAAAGTATAATTTTGTAGCATAAATATAAGCTAATAAATTCATCTCCATTAATTACATTATGATTTGCTTTTATAAACATAAGTCTGGTATTTTAGATCATTAATAAGTGCAGAATACAGCATTTATTTACAGGAATTCTTCAGAATAATGTCCCACTACGTAGTGACTACCAGAGCTCATCAGTATTTTCTTTGTACTCTGGATCCAACATCAGGAGACAGACTGGCCCTGGGCTGGCTGCTCTGTAAGAGAGTTCAGAGGATTCTTTTATTGTCATGCCCACAGATGTTTGCAGGTCCAAAAAAAATTAGTTTAGCCTCTTCTTGGGAGTCTTTTCCTCCTGCTGGGTTGCCATGTCAAGCACTGGTGAGGTGGAGAAGGCAGCAGCGACTTTCCCTGGCTCACTGGCAGAGCAAGCACAGGTGCAAATAATGCACTTGCAGAGGAGACATGACTGAGAGATGTACAGTTTTTGCACAACCCTACTCTTTTATGTCACGATTTTAGGACCAAGGGCAGTCAATCTTTATCCTTCCCCCAAAAACCTCCAAGGGTTCTTACATGTAAAAATGAGTCATTTATTTCACTCTATGTTTTGCCTGCACACATGTATGTGTACTCATGTCAGATGATGGCATCTGATCCCCAGGAACTAGAATTGCTGGTGATTATGAACTACTACAGAGATGCCAGGAGTCAGACTCTGGTCCTTTACAAAACAAGCACTCTTAACTACTGAGCTGTCTCCCCCAGCCTCCTCCAAAGGTTCTTACCTCTATTATGTCTACCCAAAACAACCAAAGAAGGCACTTACCAGAAGTGGTATTAACTGTAAAGTATTTTTGATGGATGGGTTTTTGAAAATTGCTTCTTGGACATCTGAAAAATCGTACCATGACACAAAATAATTATTTATGTATAGAAAATCACTGAAGAATTAGTAATGAAATCCTGATGTGTTAAAATATTCAAAATTGAAAATAAGATTCCTTTCCTGCTGATCCCAGAACTAGTCCTTATGTGTATATTTATATTAGGTCCGAAAGTAAAAGCACTTTGATTAGGAACAGTTATATACAACTGAAGCTGGTAAGACAGAATTTCTAATATCTTGGTTTTATAAAACAATCTTTATTCAAATGTCATATTTCCTTTTGTTTTATTTTTCCTCTATCCTCTCTTTTTCTCTCTTTCTTGCTGGTCTTGGTAACTTATGGCCTTAAACTCAACAGTCCTTAGGCAGAGGTAGGTGGATCCCTAACAGTTGGAGGCTAGCTTGGTCTATATAGTGAGTTTTAGGCCAGCTAGCCAGCATTATGCAAGGAAGCCCACCTCCCCTTCCTTGCTGGGGCTTGAGCTCAGGCCCTGCCTCATACTTAGAGAAGTTCTTTTTATTTGTTTGAAACGTGCTGGGCTTTGCACTGTGTATGTTGGCAGTGCACACTAGGTTGGAGAACCTGGCAGCCATGACCGCTCAATTAGCCCCAGGTCTCCTTACACCTGTGTCACTGAAGCTCGTTTCACTATTGCTCACCTTCGTACTTTATTCTGGATAGGCCCTTCAGATGTCTATAGTCTGTTGTTTATAAGTAATCATACCTTCCATTCATAATCCTTTAATGTCCTAAACAGGCTAAGTCATTTTATTTGCATATTACTGAATTTTGAAACTTATTTCTGATTATTTAAAATATATATAAACTAGTTATTTTATAATTTTTTGCACCTGTTAATTTTATTACATAAAATCTTCTTTGGTATGTACTGTCACTTTTAAGTTTTTAATGAAATTTTTAAATTTGTGGATTAGTTTTTTAATGTTTATTGACTATTCATTTTCCTTAGATTTTATTTGTGATTATTCTTTGAAGATTGGAATATAGGCCGTTATCTCCAAAAGGGATATTAATATACTTCCTCTCAATTTTTTTTGGAGGGTATTAGCAGATAAATTTAAGATAATTTTCAAGTAAGTTCTTCACTTCAGGCTTTACAGACCACCCAGGTCTATGAACATGGGTTGGAATTACCTTGAGGAACACACTAGGCTACGGTCCTAAACCACCAGAGAGCTTTTCCTCTCTGCTCTCAGCAGCTCAATAGTGAAATTTAGGAATGTAAATTTTTTTTTTTTTTTAAACCTCCCCACTTTTTGTTTGGAAGGCACAGATCTTCCTATGGTACCTATTTTCCTAGTTAGGAAATAGTTCCACTGTTTTTCTCCATCCTAGAGACAGGATCTTATGTGAGCCAGCCCTTCGGGAACTGGACAGGTCATCAAAGCCAGCCTTCACTTGCACTGATCCTCCTGCTTTTCCCACCTACATGCTCATATTGCAGGCACTGCTACATGCCCCACACACTTAATTAGCTTTAACAATTCTCTCTGGGTTATGTATCCAACAGTGAGGTTTAAAAAAATACTCACAAAAGTTATTTTCATGGTGGTCAGTATAAATACCTAGTCTATTTACTGTTAAAACACAAGTAATATGTTCATATATTTCTTTCAAGTCTTTTTTTTTTTTTTCTTCCTTGAAACAGGGTTTCTCGGCATAGTCCTGGCTGTCCTGGAACTCATTCTGTAGACCAGGCTGGCCTCAAAGTCAGAGATCTGCCTGCCTCTGTCTCCAGAGTGCTAGGATTAAAGGTATGTGCCACCATGCCTGGCTTATGTTCATATACTTCTAAAGGACAGCGAAGTACAAAAATCGGTATCATCATAAATAAAATGGTGTATCTACAATAATCTGAACTATTAACAATATTCACATTTTTAGATGATTTATTAAGGTGATAATCCAGATACATTTTTAATTTTTACTTCAAAGTTTTAAATTAAATAAGGATAATATAAACTGAAGAACAAAGTACCACTTTCTTACAAGGGCTGCCTTGCACACTTACAGTACAGCCTTTCATTGAGGCGATGGAGAGACTGCAGGACCTTCTGCTCCTCAGCTGACAGTGCACAGATATTATTCAGTTGGGCTTTACTTAAGGACAGATTTGGTTTCTGTAGCTGCTTGCTGTTCATGGCAGCTAGAATTTCATCCTCAGGCACTGAAGAATTCACAAGGTTTTCTGCCAGCAGAAACTCAGAAGTACTACCTGAAACTACAGAAGTGAACAATTATTCCTTGACCACTTTTGTCTTTGGGAGCAGCCTGAATACCTTAATATCAACTAACTGGAATGTCTGAATGTACTCATGTCACAAATAAAGGTCAGCAAATAATCTGTATACTGTATAATTTATTGACTAATTCATTTTTTTTTTACTTTTCTTACATTTTTTCGAGGATTAAAATTTATTTTAAATTAAAATATAATTACAACATTTTCTTCCTTCCCTCCAATGCCCCCCATCATAGCCACTTTTTCTTATTCTTACACTCACACACAAACACACACACACACACACACACACACACACACACACACACACACACAAATATAACCTGGGGAATCCGGTTAGTGTTGTTTGTATATATATCTCAGGGCTGACCACTTGGTATTTGATAGTCAACCATGGCTCATCCCTGAGAAAGACTAATTTTTCCTCCTCTCAGCATTTCTTAGTTGCATGTTCTTTGTTTAGGAGAAGGGCCCTGTGAAATTTTCCCCTTTCCTGTTAGCCTGTCTGTTGGTGGTGTCCCTGTTCAAGTCTTAGGCAGCCATATTGATGGGATAATTTTATTTATTTATTTTATGTGTATGAGTATATAACACTCACGTGCAGTGCCTGAGAAAGTCAGAAGAGTGTGGTTGATTTCTTGGGACTGGAGTTACTGATGACGGTGAGTTACCATACGAGTGCTGGGAATTGAACCTAGATCCTCTGAAAGAGCAGCCATATTCCTAACCACTAAGCCATTTCTCTAGCCCAGCGTGCATTTTAATGGTCAGGATTCTCTATATCTGGTATTTCCCCATCCCCAGTTAAGAAAATATCTAAGCCTGGCATATTGGCACACACCTTTAATCCCAGCACTTAGGAGGCAGAGGCAGGCAGATCTCTACGAGTTTAGGCCAGCCTGGTTTCAACTCACACTGCCAGAGCTACATAGTGAGATCTTGTCTACTCCAATTTTTAATTTTGAAAATTTATTCTATAGGCACATTTGACAAGTCAGGAGACAGTTTGCTGTAGAAAGAAGCTGAGTTAAGCTGAGTACCTTATTGTTTAAAACAACAAACTGGGAATGAACTACTTAAGGAGAGTTCATATCTAAGAAACTGCACAGTACACAAGTACCTGAGAGAATACACTTAAAGAAAAACCACGGGGTACCAAGCTCCAAGTAGATCTTTACAGTAGCGCTCCTCAGGCCAGCTGAAGATCTTTACCTCCCCTCTGCTCCTAATCCCCCAGTCTCACTCCCATCTCTGTGGCAGGTCATGTGCCGCTGCCTCCTCAACCATCTAGCCCCATCTCCAGCGGAACACAGATTTCTCTCCCAGCCTTCCTTCCCACTCATCCTGTTATTTCGGCCCCTCGCTCCAGCAAGCTCTCTCTGGGAACACTCCAGCCAAGCCCACTAGAAGAGCAAGTACGTAGCCAAGCAGGTAGCTAGCTTCAGATGGTTCCCCTCCCTCCTCTCCTCCATACCTAATCCCCCAGTCTTATATTCAGTTCTGTAGACCACGTGCTGTGGCCTTTCCTCATGCCCCATTCTCAGGGGACTAGGCAGATCACGGTGGAACACCCTGCCTTCCTGTACTATGTGAGACTAACATCTATTTGTAGTAAAATGAGAGAAAAAACCAGTAAAACATACCTTCTTCAGGTTTGGGACCTCTCGTAGCTGGTATTGCTTCACTTGGACTTAGCGGGACACTTTGCCCATAATGCTGTAAAATGGGTTAAATAAACATATAATTCCACATTTAAAATTCATTGTATGTTCATGGTCCTTTAAGAACTTTTGTTGTCTGTGTTTTTAGTTATCACTGTTTGTATAACTTGTCCATTTCTTTTGTTTTGGTGTAGAAACCAAGAACTATTGGATTAAAGCCTTTTCCTGGTAAATAAATATTTAAAAATGTCTTATGACTAAAACAAAATTTCCAGTTGGATAGCAAGAAAAATAAAATATGCTGAGTAGCATTCAACTGTTTGAAATAAAAGATAAATAGAACAACTGTTAAAAATCCTGTCATACTTTGTAACTTAGATGGCTTTGTAAGTGCGAATCACTCTAGTGCAGATCTGAGTGTGGCTGATGTGGAGGGTAGGAAAATCTCTACAACCCTGAAAGCAGAGGCAGCTGCCCCGCTGCTGTGAAGTGGAGCACACCATCAGAAAGTGCCATTCCACAGGACCTGAAGGAAACCCAGGCCCTCTTCTCAACAGTCTACACTAGAGTGTCTGCCTGTACTGACACTTAACTATCAGTCTGATCTGAAGAGTGACTGACAGATGGCTGTAACAGTCCCTGCCACCCTGAGCCCTGCCTTAGCTCCATTTTATGCTTGAGACATTTTGGACTAAAAATCTGCTGTAAAATGACAATTGTGACTTTTCAATTTCATCTGTTCTACATTCTTTGCACCAGAGTTGGGCAAAAGATGGGGTGCTAAAACATATTTCTTAAGACATGGTGACAAGGACTGCTGTAAAAATGAGTATTTCATTAGCCTCTAGATAAAGAACAAAACCAAACAAAATAATGGTAACAGTTTTCAATTTTAAACTTGATTTTGATTCAGAACACTCATGCAATCTATGGGCAGCAAGGCCCTTGTGAGGTTTCTAGGGAGATGTCTATGTGAGAGGCATGTGAAAGGGAAGTGAAGTGTTGAGGAGTGGAGGAGAAATAAACGTGGAAGATGAGAACAGTAAAAACAATTGAGAGCACACCAATTTCAGGTATTTAAGAGGTGTTCAATGCTTTGTGGTTTGAACAACTATCTGTCTGTAACTTTTAAAGTTGAGATCTATTTTTTTGAGACAGGGTCTCACTATATAGCTCTGGCTGGCCTGGAACTCTGAGATCCACCTCCCTCTGCCTCTTGAGTGATGGGATTAAAGGTGTGTGATACACTCACCAAATCTTATATAGCTTAATAAAAGCTTAAAAAATATAATGTATTCCCTTTATATATTTTGGTATGTTTGTTGGGAATAATATGGAAGCTCAAAGAGGAAGGATTTATTAGTTATTACTTATCACATTTGTAATCTGGAAGGTATATTCACATTTATTAAGCTACAAGAATACATTGATAATGAGATGATAATTTACACAATCATAAATTAAATAATTTGCTTTGCTGGTAAAATTAGATCATGGTTATTATCTACATTAATAATCTTGTGCTTATGAAAATTAATACCTCTTGGGCTATGTATGTGTGGCTCAGTGTTTGCCTTGCATGTAAAAAGCTTGAGCCCGTATAAAATAATTCCTATATGAATGGTAAGACCCTCAACTTTTGCCTCAGAATATACATTCTATACAGAGCACCCTATTACATTTCTATAAAAAAATCAGAAGTAGCTAGGTAGTGGTGATGCATGTCTTTAATTCCGGCAGTAGGAAGGTAGAGGCAGGGGGATCTCTGAGTTCAAGGACAGCCTGGTCTACAGAGTGAGTTCCAGGGCAGCCAGGGCTACACAGAGAAACCTTGTCTCAAAAAAAAAACCAAACAAACACGAACAAACAAAAAACAGGTTTAGAGAGATAGATGGCTCAGCAGTTAAGAGCACTGGCTGCTCTTCCAGAGGACCTGAGTTCAATTCCTAGCACCCATATGGCAGCTCGCAAATGTCTGTACCTCCAGTTCCAGAGGACATGACACAGTTACACAGACATACATGTAGCCAAAACACCAAACACATATAAAAATTAATATAAAAAATAAAAAATAAGTGATAAAGTAAAAGCTCCATGTAGAAGTAAAATGCTTTTTATTTAATTATCACACATCTCAATATTCTAAAATTAATCTCTAATTATAGAACCCTGAAATGTGATATTGAACCATACTTATTCAGCCCTCATATTTCTACATTGTATTAAAATTGTTATTTTGCTTTTACTCAAGATCTGTATCCCAAAAGTCATATTACGTTTTGTTGAACTGTTCTTGGAGACAAAACCATTATGTAATTCAAAATCTTTTATAAAAGGTGTCTAGATGAAAAAAATGTGTTTTTAAAAAATATTGAGCTACTCACAATATTACTATCTTGCCTGTTTAATGCATACTTAAATAACTTAGGGGAATTTTGCTTCAAATGGCCTTTCTAAAGAATTAGTTATAAATAATAAATTAAACAATATTTTTTCTTATTTAGAAAAAAAAAACCTGTATCATGTATATTGATGTTTTGCCTAAATGTACGTGTGTGTAACATTTGTGTGCCTGTGTGTTTAACAGTCTAGAAAATGGCTTTGCATCTTCTGAGACAGGAGTTAGATATTGTTTTGAGCCACCATGTAGGCACTGGAAATGGAACCTGGAAGAGCAGTTAGAACTCTTAACTATCTGTCTGTAACTTTTAATAGCCCCAGTAATAACTGCTTAAAGATAGTTAAAAGTTCTCACGGGTAACTGAGTATATGGACTCATTCAACTATAGCAATATTTGAATATGAGAAGCTACTAACATAAGATTCCAAGATTGTATCGTGAATGGCTTTGGTTATATTCATATTTATACTGAGGTATACTTTACACCAAGAGCATCTGTCTTTTAAGCAGCTTTCCACTACTGAAAGGGAATTCTGCTAAGACGATACTTACAATCGTTTGCTCAGTGTTCTTCATTCCTCCAGATCCAGAGGTTTTTCTTTTCTGCTCTAACAGGTTTCTCCAATTATTTTCAACAACTTGCTTTCTTCTTGTCACAGTAGAATCTTAAACAAATGTCAATATAAAAATTATGAAAGTTGAGTAGGTAATATGTATCCATGAAACTTTCAAGTTACTCTCAAATAATGCAGAAAGTTCTGTATATCTCCTTCATGTGGCCAGCAGACTTCTGAAGGTTTCTCTCAGTTCTACACATGGCACATTTGCAAGGATGCATTCTACACAGTTCCTGCTATGGAGCAGAATATGGAGGATTCCATAAAGATACACAGTCATGTTATTGGTATGTAGGAGGAGCATAGAGGCATTCCAATTAACATTATCAAAAAGTCAGAAATGAAACTTATTTCATGGCACTGTTATTTGTTAGCACGGTAGAGGTATAATGTACTGTATAGTAAATTCAAGTATCCTGAAAGCAGTCCCCAGAGCAAGGGTGTGGCAATGGCTCTGCCCTCCATCTGTGTTTTTTGTTTTTTTTTTTTTTCTTCAGTCGTGTGCCCAGGGAAGTGTATTTATGCATCTCAAGTACCATCTGAGCAAGTTCTCATGTGATGTTTTAGTGTTTAGAGTGAGTGGTGGGTACACAGTGCGCCTCACATAATTTTCCTACGACGTTTCTTAGCCTCATTCTTACAATGGCAATCCCCAAGATGATACAAATAACTTAAGGAAAACTGAGTTAGAGCAAGGCAGAGCTGGCACATTCCTCATCACTGTATAGTCCCCTCAACAGTAATGACAGTTGGTGTACTGTCACTGTGTCCATTTCAGAGTTAGTGTCATAAAGTTAGAAATTACAAAAAAAGAGAAGAGTGGGTCCTACCTTACAGGTATATTTTCCTGTGAGATGTGAAGTAATGATATCATACTAAACATCCTCATAACTGGCAAGACAGTTGAAGACTATGCACTGAAACATGACTAATAACACGAGAGCAAAAGCATATTATACAGTTCAAAATAAAATGATATTTACAATTACTTAAAATACATTGTGATGTAACAGATATATCCACAACTTCTTGGTCTAGAATTGCTGGGTCATAGATCTACATATACTCAAATTTTGTAGAGAATTTTTAGTTCATATAAAATTTTGCCATTGGTAATTTGTCTAATTTTAGCTACTCTGATGTATGCAGTTGTATCTAACAGTCTAAATATACATTTGCATGTTTATTGTCCACGTGATGGCTTTTACTTATGAAAAGCTTCTAGTATTTTACTTTGTGTTTTTTTTTTTTTTGTATGTGTATGTTCATTTTGTGTGTGTGTTCATTCACAAGAGGGTGCATGTGTGTGGAGGTCAGAAGACAACTTTATAAGGATTAAAAATATATGATATCACACTTGTTGCGTTTTTTAAAATTAATTTACTGTTTTGCCTACATGAAAGTATCTTTACCACCTGTGTACTTACTGCCCATGGAGGTCAGAAAAGGGCACTGGAACCTCTGAACTTGAGTTCCAGGTGTTTGTGAACTACCATATGGGTGCTGGGAAAGAACCAAGGTCCTTTATGAGCACAACCAGTGCTTTTAATTGATGAGCCATTTTCTCCACCCTCTATTTTTATTAACATGGGTTCTAGGGACTGAACACAGGTCCTCATGTTTGCAAGTCAAGCTCTTTACTGAATGTGCTCTCTTCCTAGTGCAGTGATAATTTTTTTTTTTAATTATTACCTGTGTAGTCTTCAGTTGCTCAAAGACCAATACAAATATTGCTGTAGTTTTTTTGAGGAAGACAATCTAGATAATTGTGATGGGCTTTGACAGTGGTGCTAGCCCTTTTTTTTGCAGTCTTTTAGTCTGCCCTTTATAATCTGTCCTACAAATGTTAGCTTTGCCTAGCTGAGCTGCACACTAAAATTATTGCTTTGCAATAGACCTCCTTTTACCACTTTCCTTGGTACAGCTTCTCTGACTTAGCCCTGGCTGATATATGGCCTACATTTTTATATTTGTTGTAGTCTTTTAGATGTTTTACCTATTAGTCTTGATTAGGAAAGTGCATTACAAATATATTTTTTCATTCAGTGGTGTGTATTTCAACCTGTTATTTTGTTGTATGAAAAACTTCAACTTTAATCATTGTTCTTGATATAGTTTTTACATAGACTATAAGAAATGTCTTATTACCTAAAAGTAAAATCATATTACTTCTACAGCTTTTTATTTTTCATATTTAAATCAACAATTCACATGGAATTTACTTTTGTATACGAGTGAGTAAAAGTGTCACTTTTACTGATTATATATAGTTACCAAGTGAATGATAAAATGAACCTTTTTCCCTGCTATGAATTGCCACCCTTGTTAAAAATCAGGCAATTAATTATGTAGGCCTGTACCTTATTGATATATTGTTCTACATATAATTACCACACTGTGCTAATTATTGTAGCTTTAGATATAATATTTAACAATGAAAGTTTTTAACTTTGTTCTTGAGATTGTCTCAGCTATTCTTGATTTGTGCATTTAACAATGGAAATATTAGATAGCCTGACAATTTTCGCAGAGGCTGTTGGAACTCGTTAGCCTCAGCATGTACATAATTTCTTCTCTCCCCAGGCCTTCTTTCATTTTTCTTCGTGGTATTTTTAGACTTCTGTACAGGAGTCATTAAAATCTTTGCATTCAATTCAGTCTCGTAGGCTTATATTTTTAATGTTATTTCTAAAGATACCATTATTAAAATTTCTAGGTCTGACCCTTTGAAATCCTAAAACATTTCTGTTATTATTTAGATGAGATCAGGCACATTCAGGGGGGAATGGCCATAGACTTCTGTTATTATTCAAATTTCATTTCAACTGCCCATTCCCACCCAGCTATGTATTTAGTACAGGATCCTGTGCTGTTTGTGGAATAATAAAACATGCTGCATTTATCAGTAGCAGGCAACACCATTCTTTGCCAGTGTCTCTTCCTACTAAGTTTCCTTTCGTGACATCCTTTGCTTGATGTCTAATTTTATTTTTATCTGAGCCCCTTCCAACTGGTCTTTTTCATTATAAATATTTGTTCACATTCGTATTAGGATAGGTATAATTATTTTGATGCAAGGAATTAATCTGCGATTGAGAACATGATATGTGTTCCAGGATATATTATTCCTCTTGGCTTTATAACTTCCATAATCATTTTACTTGCCAACATTTTTTATTTCTCAGTCTCTAATCTTGCTTATATACTCAATCTCCTAACATTTAATTGATAAAATAGAAGCCATGTCAACCCACTCAATTCTTTCTTAATCCACTTCCAAATTTCTCTTTCTTTTGGTTCACCTTTATCCCAAAAGAAACAAATGTGAACAACATGCTGTTCACACTATCCATTTAGGCCTATGTCCTGAAGTCAGAAATGACCTCAGACTCAGAAGCAAATGAACAAATTCCTATAGAACAAAAATGCCACCTTTTAATGTAGAAATGGTTTGAATTAATCTTATTTTCTTAATTAGTGCAATCTGATTTATCATATTTTCTTTTTTCCTTTTTATTTATTTATTGATTACAATTTATTCACTTTGTATCGCAGCTGTAACCCTTTTCTTTATCCCCTCCCAATCAAACGCTCCTTTCCTTATCTCCTCCCATGCCCTTCCCCTAGTCCACTGATAGGGGAGGTCCTCCTCCCCTTCCATCTGACCCTAGCCTATCAGGTCTCATCAGGACTGGTTGCATTGTCTTCCTCTGTGGACTGGTAAGGCTACTCCCCCATGAGGCGGAGGTGATCAAAGAGCAGGCCACTGAGTTCACATATTTTCTTAATAACCATTTATCACATAGATAAGAGAAATCCTGCACTTTTAATAGAAAAGTGCAGGATTTAGAATCATTGACATTTAGATAAAAATATCAATTTTTCTATCTATTGGTTCTTGATTTGAGGCGATTTTATTTCCTTATTTACAAAATGAGATTAAAACAAACAAACAAACAAACAAACAAATCACTCTGTCTCCAAAAGAAAAACAGAAAAAAAAAAAGTCAGATGGTGGTGGTGCAGGCCTTTAATCCCAGCACTCGGAAGGCAGAGGCAGGTGAATCTCTGTGAGTTCGAAGCCAGCCTGGTCTACAGAGAGAGTTCCAGGAAAGCCAGGGCCTACATGGAGAAACCGTTTCCAAAAAACAAAAGAAGAAAAAACCTCACTTATCTTTCAAGGTATCATAAAGTTTGAGATAACAAATGTAAAGCACTTAGCTCTATGATGGTTAGAGTAGAAACTCAAAAAAGGAATCCTTTCTTATTTATTTTATATTATCTAATCTGATACACCTGGTTTTTAGATATTTTGTAAGATTAATGTTAAGTCATGAAATAGCTAAGCAAACAGAAACTTTTAGTGAAAGAAACTTAAAACCTAGATTTCTGTAGAAAAGTAATGAAGAGATTCAGGTTACATTCTTTGTATTTAATTTTTCATTTGTTTCTTTTTCCCCAAGGTTTATTTATATATTTATTTATTATATAATGTTCTGTCTACATGTAAACCTGCATGCTAGAAGAGGGTACCAGATCTCATTTACAGATGCTTGTAAGCCACAATATGGTTGCTAAGAAGAATCTGTAATTCAAGTTGCATGGGGATCTGACATCCTCTTCTGGCTTCCATAGGTACTCCCACAAATGTACCATAGATATACACAGAACAACTGACAAATAAAAAAATTAAAAATTAAGTCAGATGTGGTTTTACACATAGTATAGTCTTCATACTGAGTTCCAGGCAGCCAATGTTACATAGTGAGATCTTGTCTCAAAAAACAAAACACACTAACCAATCAAAGAAAAACATCTCCTAAGTTAGAAAGAAAGAAAAGTCAGGGTGCCTACTAAGTGTCAGGCCCTGTTGGGTACAATGAATGATGTGGTACACAGAAAATCCCTACTCTTTAAAAGCTCACAGTCTAATTAAAGAGGATACTGAATATGAATATTTAAACTCTTTAAGCATATTATTACTAATAAGTAATAATTAAAGTAAAGTAATTTACTTTCCTTCTCCCTCCCTCCATGAACAGTCTCAGCTCTTATTGGGAACTGATTTCTATTGGCATGAAGTTTTATAGGCTTCTAGTCCATCCCCTTACAGGAGGAAAATGGCTTCAGAAGTGGTGATAGGGCCAGTGGCATTCAACAGAGAAGGGAATCTCAAAACTGTTCAGAACAACACTATCTGTTCTTCCCCTACACAAAAACAGAAAACACAGCAGATGGCAGCAGAGCTGCAGTGTTCTGGAAAGGCATGGGAGAGCTGGGTACATACTTAAAAACATGTCTTTAAGTTTCAGGCATTTCACATTTATTTTTTATCTTGTGTGTGCCATGCACACACATGTCAGGTCACCTATGTGGAGGTTGGAAGTCTCTTGAAGGAGCCAGTTTTTGCATCTACCCTGAGGGTTTCAGGGACTGAATTCAGGTTGTGAGGTTTAGCTGAAAGCACCTTTACCTGCCACCGTGACAAGGGCTAGTTATAGCTATTATTAGCATACAGTAATTCATATAAATATTTTAAAGTAAGCCAGGCATGGTGGCTTGTGCCTTTAATCCCAGCAGTTCTTGCCGGAGGAACTCTGTAAGCTTGAGGCCAGTTGGTCTACATAGTGAGTTCCAGGCCAGCCAGAGCTATACTCTGTCAAACAAACAAAACAAAACAAAACAAAACAAAACAAAACAAAACAAAATATGATAAATACGCAACTTATCTATTTAAATAAATACTGTTTTTTAATGGTATTTACATGACAGAAAATTTAATTACAACAGCAATGACAGAGCTACTTGGGACAATTATCAGATGCTTTTTGTTGTTTTCTCTTTTCAGACATCAAGGAAGTTATAGAAAAGACAAAGCTAGCAAAAGTTTCCAATTTTAATTGAGCACAGATTAGGCAATTCTCTTAAGAACTCCAGGTACTAGAGCAAGTTATATATAGTATTGAGAGCCAAGTTATTTTCAGAAGGCTAAATTATAACTCACTATCTATACAGTACACATTGCCATACACATTAAGAAAAATTTCATATGACTCTAAAGGGTTGTATCTTTTTCTCATAAGAAGGTATACATTTGCCAGGCAGTGGTGGCACATGCCTTTAATCTCAGAACTGGAGAGGCAGAGGCAGAAGCAGAGGCAGAGGCAGGTGGATCTCTGAATTCAAGGCCAGCCTGGGCTACAAAGTGAGTTCTAGGATAGCCAAGCCTACACTGAAAAACCCTGTCTCGAAAAACCAGAAATAAAAAGATGGTATAAAGTTTATCCTTACCAGTGGCCCTCTCATTTTGGCGCCCGTTGTTCCTTTTCCATGAGACAACTGATTCTTCTTCGCTGTTCCTATGAGTAAAAGACTGGTAGCTTTCTTCACAAACAGGACTTCTTTGGGTACAGTATACCATCCCGTCTTGCTGGAAAGCTGTGCCATTTGAATAGTTTCCTTTTGCTGAGGTTTGGCACTCAGAAGAGTAAGGAGATGGGAGAGCTGGGGTCACAGCAAGTAGGTTACAAGTGTCTGAGACTGGGAGAATACTTTCTTGAGTGCACTGGTTCAAATGGTACTCTGTTGGAAGCACACATGCAGAACTTAAACTGTTCTGTGTTGTGACATTTTGAGAATATTCAGGTATGGCTGATTGACATGGAGACACCTGCATATTTTTACCACTGTTTATATATGTTGGTGGTTTAGGTGGAGGATGAGGCATAATTAGTTTCCCCTGAGTTTGGGCCAATGTGTTGGCTTTGATTGAAGACTGTGGCTGGCTGACAGTGGCTTTTCTGTTCATATATACAAGGCCTTTCTGGTCCTTTGCAGACCCTGCTCGTCTAGTGAGCATTGCTCCTCTCAGAGACTTAGCCTTCAGAGTTTTTGGGTCACCAGCATGTACAGGGGCTTTGCTCTCTTCTCTTCTGCAGGCTGACCAGGCTTCTTTTGCAATGCTAGAGTCTGAAGGGAGAGAAGAGTTCACAGGCATACTGTCCGTTTCACAGTAACGGACATCAGTTACTGATGTTCCTACATCAGTAACATTTTCAGAGACAGAATCAGCCTTGGCCTTCTTTCCACCAGCAGAAAGTATAGTAGAACCAGGAACACTTGTTAGGTTGCAGGTGCCACGGTTGGTGTGAGAGGGCTGTAACCTCTGTGGGGCTATTCCGGCCTTGTTCCTCACTAGGTGACCTGCATCTACACTGTTTTCTGTGTTATCGTTTTCGTCAAACCACCGCAGTTTTTTAATAGCCTTGGGGGTTTCTGTACCTTTGCCTTTCTGTTTTGTTAACTCAATACTATCTCTAATAGTTTCAGCCTTTTGATGTCTAAACTTAAAATCCTGACTTATAACTAATGCCCTGAGATAGTCAGGTTCATACCTGGATTCTTTCTTTAATATACTCTTCAGCAGCCCCACCCCATTTTGCTCATGGATGCTGTGTTTCATGCTGTGCTGGTCAGGTAAGTCAGGAGTTACATTGTACAGCGGTGCCGATGGTCCACCCGCTTTGTGTTTTCTATCTTGCGAATAAGAACTTTGCAGTGCACAGGCGGCCTGACAACTGTCTGAAAATAAAGGCAACTTTTCTTTATTATAGTTAAAACAGTTCATCCTCTCACATTTCATATCTCTCAATTCATCTAACTTATCAGAACACTGCACGGGGTGGATTTCTTTTATGCATGTGATGTTCTCGGCTATAGGCCCACCTGACTGTGCTTTAGGTGACAAAACCGGTACAAATGAAGCAGGAATTGAGGCAGTTCTGTTTCCCTGAGTTAACTCAGACAGTCTCTCTTGCATGGAAAATGAAGCTGCTTCCTGGGTTAGAGATTCTGGAGTAGTCCAGGCTCCACTGACTTTAAATGTTGGGCTCTTAATAACTGATGGCCTCTCCCTTTTGTGTGCTTCATCAGTGGGATCACTTGTCCTCACAGTACTACTTTCAGAGGTGCTTTCTCCTTTCTTATCTAGTGCATCTACAGGTGGACTACATACAAAGAACACCGAATCATTAGCAGTTCTTGTGGTTTTTTCCACATTTCTGTTCAAAGTAGGTGGATTTTGTTCTTTATTATTAAAACATTCCCACGAGGGCAGAACACTAAATTTACTTAAAAAATCTGAAAAAGTTGTGGCAGGCTGAGCATTTTGAGTATCTAAGTTTGTAAGCCAATTGTTTATATGCTGAGTTTTAGAGATTGACAGCTTATCTTCATCAAAGGAGTTTAAATGAGATGACTGCAGATTTGCTGACTTGACGGGAGCAGAGTTCTGCTGGGTTGACGTGGAAGGTGCCATACTAAGTGATGCGTATATTTCTTCACGCTCTGCAGCCTCAAGGCTGTCTATACTTGAGAGAGTTTCAGAATTGGTTATCTGATTAACTTCATCATAAAATTTCTGAGGGAGGAAAAAAACGAAACTGTTTTATGCTGTAGACTCACACTATTGTTATTCAATTCTCCTAGACATTAAAAGATAATGTGACTATAAACAATATAGGTATAACATAAGCTACACCTCTGAAGCAGATCTCATGGTAAAAATAAGAAACAAAATCATAATAAAATTTACTTCCTTTCATTTCAACTCCCAAAGTAACTGTGCAATTATTCTGGCCACCATGATAGCTTAGAAATAATTGCTATCCCACTTATGGTATTGGAGTTTCTTTAAGGTTTCATAATACTAAATTCTGAAAAATACTTGTTTATAGATTATACTTTCTTTTTGAAACCTTCATTGGACAGAAAAGACTCTTAAAATGGTTGTGACACAGCAGCTGTCAATTACCACTTGCTTATCAGCTAGACTGTGAATTCATGAACCGTACCCCTTGCATACTGAGATCGTGGGTGGTCCCAGAGAGGCTGCTAGGTCCACTAGGTAATTCTACACATGTCCATATAGGAAGCACTATATGTCAACTCAGTGGGTTTAAGTTGGGAGGGAAAAGTGATGCTCAGGAATAGGGGAGGAGCTAGAAGAAAAGGCGTATACACACTTATAAAATTCTCGAACAATAAAGGGAATTAAAAAAAAAATAAAGTTCTGTGACCCTAATGTGTGAATGTCTGTTGGTAGAAATGATATTCTTTTTTATAAAGGTCTGGAGTAAAGTTTTCAATGCTGGTTGTATTCATAAAAATAAATAAAGTCAGGGTGAGTCAGAAGTTCAATGATAGTGTTGGTTATATAATGAGTTTGAGGCCAGCCTGGGCTAAATTAAATTAGATCCTGTGTCAAAACAAAATTCCAACAGAATGTATGCCAGGGCCTTGTTGGTTCAATTCCCAAATGAGATCCATGCAGTGGTCTTATACTTATTTTACAAATTCTTATGGAAGTATGTGGACTTAGGTTCAAGAACTGTTGGTTTAGGGGCTGGAGACATGGCTCAGTCTTAAAGAACACTTTTTGTCCTTTTAATTAATAACCTAACATCTATATGCGTTGTGATTTTTAGGTCACGTTTTGTAATATAATCTCTAACAATAATACTGTACTTTCAAACAGCTTTTCTGTTTGTCAGAAAATAACACTCAGAAAACACATTTTTTTTCAAATAGATGGAAAAAAAATAACACAGAAAAAAAGAGAGGTCAAGAAAACACTCAAGTTTTCTTTTAGCATCTGTGATGAAGTTGTGCTGACTCAACTGCAGTATTTTTATAGTCTCCACAAACACTGACAAGGAGGACAGAATTATTACTACAAATCAAAACACTAGTAACATAGTTATAGTTCATACTTGCAAATCGCTTAAATGTTGATTCTCTAGGAGTTTCTGTATTTCCTCCAGTTTAAGCTGGAACACATTTTTGTTACTAGATAGGTTTGCTATGTTGTCGTCCTTCATTTCTTTCTCATGGTTAAATCTGTGTAAGAGATATTTCTGATGTTTGTGATCATTTTTTGACAACGTTGAAGGCAAGGCAGAATCTATAGGTCTGTGAACCAGATATGAAAAGATTTAGTACATTTAATGAAATTAACTTATTTCTATAAGTTTATAAATGACACAATTGTATACTATGTGCACATGTCCAGATAATTACATATAAGGATATTGGAGATATATATAGCTATAATAGGACGTTAAGGCAATGGATAATAGACCAAAATGACTGTGTGACCAGAGTGCCAGTAAAGAAGAGCTGCACACTGGGATGCTCATTCATTCATGGTGCTGCCTACTGTATTCCCACTTTCTTAATCACTTGCGCTGGGGAAGAAATCCTGTGAATTTGTAGCCAGTTTCCATTTCTCTAGATACCAATCATCTAGATAATAAGTAATAATATTCATTAGCTTTTGCTCTTAGCTGGTGTCATGGCCAGTATGTATTCCTATATCCTGAAAGACTGGCTGAGACTCAAGCAGATGGAAGTTATGAATGCTGCTTTGTCAGTGTAGGTAGCAAAGTCCTCCCTACATAACCTCCCTAAAGGACTGTGGCTCTTGCTCAACAATGAACAAAAACCTTTGTTTCCAGTTTGTTTCAGGAATATAATCAGAAATATAAGCATATGTTTTTATGCTACAGAAGGAGTATCTGCGATATAATATACTTTTAGTGTGTTCAATCAGGATGTTTTTTTTTTTCTTAAAGATTTATTTAATGTTCTCCCTATACACCAGAAAAGGGCACCAGATCTCATTATAGATGGTTATGAGCCACCATGTGGTTCTGGAAATTGAACTTAAGACCTTTGGAAGAGTAGCCAGTGCTCTTAACCTCTGAGCCATCTCTGCAGCCCAGGACATCATCTTTTTTTACAGTGTTGTGCTGCCTGGAAGCTCAGGGCTCCTATTATTATTATTATTATTATTATTTTGTGCTGCCTATAAACTGACAGCTTGTTACAGTTCAGCATATATACCAAGTGAAAAATCCAATTCCTCCAAGGATACAGTGGGGATGAAGGATACAGCTGACTCTTGTGCTAGGGCCAGTTGTATGAATCCCAAGAATATGTATTACCAACTCATTTATTTCCAGTTAAATCAGAATACAGAAATGTTTTGGAAGGTGGCGTATTGCCACATGTGACATATAACTATCTCCAATACCCACATATGTCTTTACCTATTAGACAGACCAGAATTGTCACATTCAACCATTACTATATTTCTAATTATTTCTTTGTTATTACCTGGAGGTCAGAGCTGGTGAGAAGCTATTTAGCACACTCCTGAACCGTGAGGGCATGTTTCTGTTTTTTTTTTTTTTTTTTTTTATTTTTTTTATTTTTTTTTATACTTTTCTACCCTTATACAACCTTTCCCCTTTAGTCACCCTTCCCAAACAAAACAGCGCTAAATCTACACAAGGTCTAAGAAACTCAATTCATTTACCTTTAAAGTTGTCGTCTCTCAACTTTTTCTTCTCTATTCCTTTCTTCTCTACTCCACTTTCTTCTCTTCTCTTCTCTACTTTCTTCCCCCAGTGAGAATTGAAGGGACGGATAGGAATAAAAGGAGATGGGGAGGTAGAAATCGAGATAGAGTGAAGCATGGGAGGAAAGGAAGAAGAAATCATGAAAGAAGAGGAAGCAGGAGATACTGGAGAGGGAAAAGCTAGATAAGTTGGAGGCAAACACGGAGAGGGAGATGACTGCAAAGGAGAGGGCAAAAGAGGGATAGATGAAATAGGTAAGGGAGGGGAGGTACAACAAGAAGATGAAGGAGAAGACACTGTGGATGAAGAGGAAGAAACTACTCCCAAGGGTGAAGAGGATGTGGAAGCAGAAGGTGATGAGGGCAAAAATGAGGATGGAGAATGACGGGGAGGTGGGTGGGAAAGAGCCAAGGCAGGCAGATGGTCTACAAAGGCCTGGCACTGATTTGACGAGGTTGTGGCTAGTGGAACAGATTTCTGAATTGCCTGACACACATCAAACCTAGCAGAATGTTCAGGTAAAGGAGTGATACAAGAGAGAGTTGGTGCTGGTTGAGTCAGATGACCGGATAAACTGGAAGGCTTCAAAACAGGGAGAGCTTCCAAGGGGCCTGGGGAAACAACCAGCCGAGTTGGAAGGGAACGGCGGTTAAGGGCAGGCTTTAGAGTTGCTGGGGTAGAATGCTGTGCTGCAAGAAAATGTTTCGGTCTGAAAGTTTTGTAAAATAATCTGCTCTGTGAGTCAGAATCAGGAATGTTCAGAGAACTTTGGGGCGGATTAGTTCGAAGGACAGGTGGCCCAGAAGGAAGAGGAGCAGGTAGACTAGGAAAACTGCCTGGAAAGCCAGAAGTAACTGGGGCTGGAGGGGGAGGGAGAGATCTGATAGGATAAGATAGTGATGGGGCTTGTGAAACGGTCTTTGGAAGAGTAGAGGGAACAAATGGAAGGACACGGGTTTGGGGGGTGGGAGAAACAACCGGGTAGCTAGGAAGAATTTCGGGATGATGAGATAGCAATTGGGCCCGTGAAGCAGACAGTTGACCAGTTAAGTAGGGATCAGGATTGGAGATAGCTGGACAGGCAGGAATGGATCTGCATAGGTGGGAAAGTATTTGGACAGGCAAGTAGAAAGAACCTCATTAAGATTTAAAACACTCTATTACTGGGCTGCTTTGTACGCTTTTGATTGATTTTGATTTTATCCTTTCAGGTCCATGCTTGATCTTCCATTGGTCAGCGAGATTCCTCTCTCACTGACTGAAACATGTACACAGATGATTTCCTCTCTTTTCAAAAATGTGGTGCATGGGTTATAAGCTGGACAGTCTAGTTTAAACCACTAGTATGAAAAGCAAATGCAGATCTCTCAGGGCAGTAGGTAGTTCAGAATGGACCATCTCATCACAAATACATGGATATTGGAGATAGATATCTAACAAATAATTTTGTTAGAAAGTTTATCCACCAAAAATGCCAAAAAGATTAGCGTTGTGATGGATGGTTGATTATTTGTGATATTTTAAAAGATAGTACCTTATTAATATTATGTCTTATTACTTCCTGACGGAGTTTCTGGATTCCTGAAAACCTATTGTCCTATTTAAATTGAGGCATAAGCATTAGTCTCCATTTTTCCAAATTTCTGTTTGGAATGATAACGTTAGTATTTTAGAATATTCTTATTCTTCATTAGCATTTTCTGTTAGAGCCACCTCTTGTGCTGAGGCTGTGGTAAGTGGTGGAGCTTGTGCAAAGGCCTACTCAGTTCCCAGCACCATGAGTGCTGCTACACTCTGCATTTCTGGAACTGATTCTTGCTATCACCTGATTTTTGTTTTGTTTTGAGACAGCGTCTCTCTGTGTAGTCTTGACTGTCCTTTACGCACTCTGTAGACAGGCCGGCCTTAAATTCACAGAGATCTGCCTGCTTCTGTCTCCCTGAGTGCTGCGATTACATGCATGTACCACTGTGCCTGGTATCACTTGATTTTTTTACCCAGTTTATGTTTATCTTCCACTGAATGTATTTATAACATAATAGCTTATTACTTCTTGCATAAACATTTGCAATAAATTTCTAAGAACCTAATATATGATCACTAATAGTCTAAAATTTCATACTTATATAACATTTAGTTTATAGACTATTTAGTATATAATATTTAACACTGTGAGTTATTTCTGTTTATTAGTTAACCATAGTATTTTCTCCCACAGATTATATCTATATGCTTTTCAAATGAAGATTTATGCTATATACACATACACACACACACAATTCACAGTCAAAAGTATATTATAAAAACATGAAAGGTAGATATTTTGATACATAATGAAGGTTATGTCTCACAAAGACAATATATAATATTTAGTTATTTTTTAGTATAGATTTGCTAAAATAATGTGTTTCTTTGCTTCAGAAGAATTGAAGTTATTTCAAGTGTTTAAACTTTAAAACAACTGAGCACTGCTGAGCAAGAAAAAGAACAATGCTTTCATTCATTGTACAAAAGAGTTGTTTTTAAGATTAAAAATATATGATCAACACAAAATAATAATTGAACACAGAAAAGGAAACTGGAAAGTGAAGGGTCTCTATAAAAATGCTAAGTGGTTTAGAAGCTTTTTTTAAAAAATATTAATCACAGGTTATTTACTTTGTATCCCAGCCGTAGCCCTATCCCTCATTCCCTCCCACTCCCACCATCCCTCCCTCATCTCCTCCCTGCCCCTTTCCAAGTCCACTGATAGGGGAGAACCTCCTCCCCTGGTTTAGAAGCTTTAAGGTCAGTGCTCCCTATGAATTTTCCTGCCATGGCCATTATGTGCTATCTTCTGTGCAGACAAGCTTTCCCATAATATTCTAAAGTCATGCTGCCTGGATGTGTCCAACTCTGGTTTCTTAACATATTTCTAGCTTGTTTCACTTCAATATGTTGCTTTGCTTATGATGAAATACTTAACCCAATCACTGTACAACAGAAATGTGAACACTGTCTTTACTGGTTTAGTTTTCCAGCTATTACCTTTTTCTACCTTTCTGGTTGCCCCTTCTCATGCTCACACTTGAGGCCAGCCTTTTGGAACTTTTGGGTTTGGAGACCTTCCTCCTATTACTCTACTAGAACTTGTGGAATCTTCTATAACTGACTGTGAGATTCTCTGTATCTGCATGTCTCTAAAAGGACTGACAAGATTCTTTTATCCTTCTCAATGGGCTAATTCAGTATTGGGGGTACCTTTCTTTCTATTTATTTTATTATGGTTTATTCACTTTGTATCCCACCTGTAGCCCCATCCCTCATTCCCTCCCAATCCCACCCTCCCTCATTCTTCTCTTCCCATGCTCCTCCCCAAGTCCACTGATAGGGGAGGTCCTCCTCCCCTTCCCTCTGACTCTAGCCTATCAGGTCTCATCAGGACTGTCTGCATTGTCCTTCTCTGTGTCCTGGTAAGGCTGCTTCCCCCTCAGGGGTAGGTGATCAAAGAGCCAGGCACTGAGTTCATGTCAGAGACAGTCCCTGTTCCCATTACTATGGAACCCACTTGGAGACTGAACTCCCATGGGCTACATCTGTGCAGGGGTTCTAGGTTACTTCCACGCATGGTCCTTGGTAGGAGTAACAGTCTCAGAAAAGACCCCAGGGGCCCAGATTTGTTGGTTCTGTTGCTCTCCTTGTGGAGCTCCTAGCTCCTCCAGGTCTTTCTATCTCCCCCTTCTTTCATAAGATTTCCTGCACTCTGCCAAAAATTTGGCTATGAGTCTCAGCATCTGCTTTGATACCCTGCAGGGTAGAGTCTTCCAGAGGCCCTCTGTGGTAGGTTCCTTCCCTGTTCCCTCTTTTCTCCCTCTTCCTGTGTCTGTCCTGTTTGCCTTTCTGAGTGAGGATTGGGGGATAACTTTCTCCATTGTTTCCTTGGGAAGTGGCTCACCCACTGTGATGGCATTGTTTCTCAATGGTGCTGTCACTTTTAAGAGGCATGGACTCTGCAAAAACTAGCTTTCAACTGCTTTATAGCCTGCTCTGAAGAATGTTCCTATCTAAAGATAATGTCTTGTTAATATATGGCATTCTGACTTTTTAACTCAAAACCACCACTGATAGACACTAACCACTGTTATCTGTGATGACTGTCACATCTGTATTCATGGCCTAGACTTCTTGTTACAAGGAACTGGTTCCTGAAAACCCTACATTTCAAACTTACAACATGCCCTATCTTGCTGTCAACTACTCTCTCCCTAAACCTGTTGATTCCTCCTTCATAATCATATTCTTTTCAATGTGACAAAATGCTTACCATGAGCTCTACTCTCTTTCTTATCCTCATCCTTAAATTTTGATAAGTGGCTTCAGCATTTCACCATCTACTTGCTGACCAAACTGTCTCTGGAATCATCCTTGACTCTTTCCCATCTTCTACTTCCCTCCTTGGCAGCTCATAAGCCTGACTCATCACTTTGACTGACTAAAGTTATCGAATTTTCCCACCTTCAGTCTACCCCTATTCATTTGGCAAAACCTCCAAAACATAAATATAGAGAGCTTGCTTCAATTCTTTCACTGATTATTTCTAGAACACATTACTTAAAGCTCTTCCTGGTTTAATTCTTGGCTTTCTTTCTAACTTTCCTACCCACAACTCCCTTTAAAAAGTTAAGCTAATTAACCTGCAGGAAGTGCTTATCTCTGATGAACGTCATCCCCATTTGTGTAACACGGTTTCAGGTCAAGTTCTACCCTCAGTGCATTCATTTACATCTATGGTATTTTCTGCTTATTTCTGGATTTTTAAAAAAATATGTACAGCACTATAGGAAACAAATGTATGTGTAGGACCTACCCAATATACTGAATAAAACCACAGTCTGATTTCAGAAACAAAATATTAAAAACATTTAAGTAACAATAAAATCATAACCTTCGTATCTCTTTTTAGTCCTCTTATATCAATTTTTTTTTTTTTGGTGTGTGTGTGTGTGTGTGTGTGTGTGTGTGTGTGTGTGTGTTTGTTGTTGTTTTTTCTTTTTTTGAGACAGGGTTTCTCTGTTTAGCCATGGCTGTCCTGGACTCACTCTGTAGACCAGGCTGGCCTGGAAATCCCAGAGATCCGCCTGACTCTCCCTCCCGAGTGCTGGGATGACAGGCGTGCGCCATCACACCCGGCTTTCTTATTTCAGTTTTGATAACAAAGTTAACATTTATAACTGGACTCCTAGCTTCTGATTTAAAAAGCTTAAGTAAAAAAATTAAAATATCACCAAATTCTCTTTTTAAGTGAAGTTCACTGTAAAAATCTCACAAATAAATAAAAACATTACACATCAAAATTAGTCAGACCCAAAGTCTATACAACTTAACAAACTTATATCCAGTTAGAATTGCCATTTGAAATGGAAATTGTGAAGCTTCTCAATAAATTTTACATTTTTAGTACTGAATATACTTTATTCACAATTCTACCAACAAATAAAAAAATCATGATAAAATTAGCACTAGAAAAACAATTGGTTTTATATTATTTTCATAATTCATATCCATTCCTGCAGTCACTTCTTTCTCATCACATATTTAGCTTTGTTTTCATGTTAGACTGTACCCACATGTACATTTGTTTACATATGTACATATTATTGGTTAGATTCCATATATGAGAGAGAATATGTGATTTATTTCTTTCTGAAATGGTGTGATCTTGTGATCTCACTTGATCCATCTTTTTCCTATACATTTTAAAAATTTATTTTTCTTTAGAGCTGAGCAGTGTTTCATTATATAAGCATATATATAATTTTGACCTATGTGTATATATACACACACATATATATACACATATACATAGATATATATACACATATACCAAAATTATCCATTCATCTATTGATGGATAACAAAGACGGTTCTTTGCGATCGTGAATAAAGCAGCAATAAACAAGGGGTGCAAACATCTCCCTGATAGGGTATGGAGTTGTCTGGGTACATGCCCAGGAGTGAAATAGCTGGGTTATACAGTGGTTTTATTTTTATTTATTTATTTATTTTTTGAGAAGTCTCCAACTTCTAGCTACAGAATTCTCACCTTTACCTTTGCTGCTTTCATTTTCCTTACATTATCATACCAAACACATAATGCATTCTTTTCATAAAATAGCTTATCTTTTCTCCCTTCCTTCCTCTCTCCATTATCCACTCTCTGTCTCCCCCCATATCCACAACTGTATGTAATGATTATAATGCTATGTTTAAAAAATGATTTTGCTTAAAATTCTGTTAAAATCTCAGGAATAAGTTTATATTTCACTTCCTTTAAAGTTATATATATATATATTTTTTGTGCGTTTCTGTGTGGACATACACACACATGCCACCGAATGCATGTGGAAGACAGAAGATACCTTGCATTGCGTTGGTCCTAGGATCGAATGCAGGCTGTCAAGCTTGGCGGCAAGTTTATTTACTTGCTAAGCCATCTTGATGGTCCCAAAGTTTCTACTTCGTAACATACAGATCTACCTCTCTCTAATCACGTATCCAGGTAAGCTCTTAGTATGTGTATTCTCTGATTCGCCTGCACTACCAGTATTTATTTTTATGGGTCTCTGTCTCTTTGCCCATTTCTGCCTTTTTCCTCTCTCACTCTCTCTGTAGTGCTGGGATGAAACCTGGGTCTGGTGCATGCTCAGTGAGCACACTACCCTGAGCTACAGTGCCAGCAGATTCCACTACACGTTACCCTCAATATATTATCACTTGTGGACTTTGCATGTGCTATTCATCACTGGTCCTCATGAACTCACGTTTTCTTCAAAGCTTGGCTGAAGCATTCCTAGATTCTTTAAAATAAAGAGTCTAGTTCTTTCTCAGACTCTAATGAATACTCTAATGAAAGGATTAAATTATTTGTTTTTAGCTCTAATGAAGAGGACTTTTGACCAGAGGAATTCTGAAAATGAAATAATATTCTAGATATATAAATAATAAGAACATTTACACCTGAACTATTAATATCTCCACACAAGTGTTCTGATTACTTCTACTCATTTGACTATAACTAATGTGATTTTTTTGTGGTGCTGGGGATCAATCCCAGGCCTTACATATGTGAAGCTATGACCCCAGTCCTGATGTTTCCCAAAGCATCATTTTACTTCTCTCTTAAGGTTATAGATTAAGGACTACATATATTTTAATTAAAAAAAGATTTATTTTTATTCAAACTGATATACCTGCATGTATGTATATAAGAGGGCATCAGATCCCTTGGAACTGTAGTTACAGTCATCATGTGGGTGCTGGGAATTGAACCTAGTTCCTCTGAAAAGCAGCCAGTGCTCTTAACCACTGAGCCATCTCTCCAGCCTCCAGCATTGTATTTTTAACAGTCTATTCCACATTGCTTTCCAATGCTTCATCTAGTTTTCTACATATACTAACATCAAAACACATTTATGGAGGAAGCCTGGTGTCTGGTGAATCCACGTAACTACTTTAATAAGAATTACTGTGCAATTCTGGAGAGAACAAGAGACTAGTTTTTACTGAGACAACAACAACAAAAATATTCTGAGTGAGAAAAAAGAACACTGCAACCATAAAATTATTCTTTTTAGAGTAAATTTGTACCAATGCAATATAAAGAATTCTCTCTTCAGTATAGGCAACAACAAACATCAATATATTAAAATAGTTGATATTTTACATAAAATATTCAGTATTACAGAAAATTACAATTCTGACTTAATTCATTAAGAATTAAAAATAATAAATTCTAAAACAAAAATAAGGATTTACCAGTGAAAAAGATGACAAATTCAGTGAGTAGAAAGCCACTGGTTATTACACTGAGTAGTAGCAGTTCAGTAATACTACCATAGTCATAATAAATTACTTACCGCCAGTCTGTTGCTGGCTTTCGGGAAAGAGGAATGTTTACTTCTGATTTTAAGTTGGATTCTTGAATTTGTTTAAGGGCTTCTTCTAATGGAGGAACTGGAGTTTGAAAAACTAATGGAATAGTAAACAAACAAATAAACAAACAGTAAAGAATCATTCTACCACCAATGATTTCATGATATATAATTTACCTGGCTGATAAAATATTTCAAATCTCTTGTATAATATATTTGCAATAGAATAAAAAATTCAATTTTGACATGTAAGTCCTAAGAAAGAAACTGTTACTTTGAGATTTCATCATCAATTTTATGAAAATATTTGGAAAAAAGAAAATTTGAAAAACATAGGACTTTCTGATATATAAAATCTACGTTTGATCTCATCTTCTCAAAATTTTAACGACAATTTTTTAAATATTCCTGTGAATGAAATGAAATCAACTAATATTTGGGCATTTACTGCTATACAGCTTATTTCAAGCACTTTGCAAGTACGCTCATCCTGGCTATGACACAGGGACTATTTGAATTTTACAACCAAGGAAGCAGAGTTAAGAAAGAGGCAAGTGGCCTCCTCAGTCATACACTACGTGGACACTGCCTCACACTGCTCTGTAAACCTCTCATCCACCCTTGCTTTCTCATTACATCCACGTTCAAAGCCTTTAAATGTGTACTATCATACTCAACATACTCTCTTTCCCTTGCTTCTAATGCTCTCCCTCTCACTGTTCATCCTGTTAAAAATATGGCTGTCTTTTAAGAATGTAGCCCCCTTGCATCCCTGGCGTATGGAGATACTATGTTCTACTCATCAAATGCTATACATAATTCAAAGCCTAGGGGTAGAGATGATTTTCCAGCTCTAACTCTTTATGGAAACCTAACTTTTTTTTTTTTTAAAGATTTATTTACTATGTACACAGTGTTCTACCGCATATACACCTGCACACCAGAAGAAGGAACCGATGGTTGTGAGCCACCATGTTGTTGCTGGGAATTGAATTCAGGACCTCTAGACGTACTAGAAGCACAGCCAGTGCTCGTAACCCCTGAGACATGTCTCCAGCCCTGGAGAGATGGGGCTAACTTTTTTTTTTCAAGACAGGGTTTGTCTGTGTAGCCCTGGCTGTCCTGGAACTCTCTCTGTAGACCAGGCTGGCTTTAAATGTGCATAGATCTGCCTGCCTCTGCCTCACAAGTGCTGGATTAAAGGTGTGTGCCACTACTGCAGGGCTTGAAACGTAACACTAAAATTAAAAAACAAAAAAACCTTTTTACTTTTAAAATATTCATGTCAACACACTTCCCCACTATTCAGCTGTCTGTAATTTTCTCCAAAATGTTTAAACAAAGCCAGTGTACTACTACATGGGAGTTATTTCAAACTTGAATTCTAGACACGAGAGGGTAATGGGAGTAAATATGATAATATATACATGTATGAAAAGATAAAAATAAAATTTATTACATATAATGAATATGTTAGTAAAAACTGCTATTTATTAGTGCATATTTTGTGTGACGCTCTCTGACATGTTTCTAAGGCATTGTTTTCCCTGTAGCTTTTCTTTTCCTATACGCAATAATCTTATCAATTGTGGTATGTGAAATAGATAACCTCTTGTGTCTATATACAGTTACAGCTCAACTGAGGGAACTTAACACCTCTTTCCAGAGTTAGTGTCTTCCTGGCCTTTTTAACTCCAGCATGTTTCTACTTTTATCCACAGTGCAAGCTGTCACTATAACTATCCTTCTATCCAACACATTTCACGGTGAGAGGCCTCCCTCCATTGTCCATTTCCTTTCTTAGTAAGAGCTCATAGTGTTAGGAGTAGAAACATACCTGATATCAAGAAAATTTCAGGTTCCCTTACACATGGAGCCAAACAAATAAATAAAAACACATGCATGAAGGCTTCTAAGGAAAGATTTAAGGGGATTCAGTGGCATAACTTTACCTCTTCCTCTGTTTTTTTCTGTCTAGAACACCGATCCCCTGGCTGGCAATTTGGTAGCCAGCATACACCCAAGAGGAAAGACAGAAACCATCTAGAAACTGATTAGCTATCAGATAGCCAAGTCTGTGTCCTGACACCATACAAACATTGAACCAGCTTTTGACTCTGACCTCAGGATTCATTCTATGAGAGAAAAAGAAATCTCTAGCATGTTTTGGTGTCTTTTGATTATGTCAGTGTTCTTTGCAGCCCCTCTTTATATTAAGATTCCTTACTGACCCAGAAATGGCTTGCTTTCCAGTTCTGAATGGCATTTTGTATATAAAGATGAGCTTTCTAGCATGGCATACAACGTTCTCCAGGAGTTGGCACCAACTGACTTCTTTTAGTTTCAAGTTAGTATTCTTCTTGTCTTATGCCCTGACTTAAGTTTCAATACTCTGAAAGACACAGTTCATTTACATGAGCTGTTTCTTCCGTTCTCCTTGCCTGGCAAGATACTGATTCAAGAGTCACATATGGGAAGCGGGACTGCCTCTGACATAATCTGATTGGCCTGCTCTTTGATCACCTCCCCCTAAGGGGGGAGCAGCCTTACCAGGCCACAGAAGATGACAATGCAGCCACTTCTGATGAGAACTGATAGACTAAGATCAGAAAGAAGGAGAGGGGGACCTCCCCTATCAGTGGACTTGGGGAGTGACATGCATGCAGAAAGGGGAGGGAGGGTGGGATCGGGAGGGGAGGAGGGAGAGGCTTATGGGGGGGGATACAAAATGAATAAAGTGTAATTAATAAAAGTTAAATTAAAAAAAAAGGAAAAAAAAGAGTCACATATGTCATTTTATGGAAACAATGGCCTAGGGTCCTGACATAGGTTTAGCATTCTTTCTTATGTTTTCACAGCTGTTAAACGTTCTGCTATCACATCAATTATTGTGCCAACGATACTGTTTAAATTCTTATCCAAAATACACTGTGGTTTTTGGTGTGAGAGTATAATAACATATTTCTGTAGCTAGCCCAGTGTAGCTGGGGACATGACGGTATTGCCAACCTTCTTTCTTTAGTGAGCTTGGACATATTATTAGTTCTGCCTTGCTATTTAAGGTCTAAACGTGGATGTGATATAAAAGCATCAATCATATTCACACTTAAATTTTTTTAAATATATTTGTGTATGTGTGTGGGTGTAGGTGTGTGTGGGTGTGGAGGCTGATGCTGGGTGTCTGCTTTAATCGCTCTCCACTTTATTCAGGCAGGGTCTCACATTTGAACCCAGAGCTTATCAAGAGTAGCCAGTAGCTTGCTCCAGAAATGCCCTGTGCTTCTATGTGCTGTGAGTACAGGCTGCCACATTTGCCTGATTTTCCTGTGGTTCTGGATATGCAGACTGCAGCCTCATGCCTCTCAAGGGCTTTATCCATGCAGCCATCTCTTCGACCCAATTATATTTAAATTCTTAATTGGTTATGGGTCATAGATTATTAGATTGTATTACTTTGTAGACTTTTTGCCAATCTTTCAGATAAAAATTTGAAGCAAACCACAAGTAAACTGTCAGAATGAATGTGACACTAATTTCCTCAACCTAACTGTTAAATTTTCTTTCTGTGAAGTTATTTACAAAATTGACTTTAAAAAGACAAAACATTATGAACTAGCGTGAAGTTGAAAGAAATTTGTGAATGAATAAAGAATTTACTAATGGAGCCATCACAATATTCTCTAAATTAAATTGAAATCAAATTCCCGTTTTTCATTTGGTTAAAGTACCTGTTACTCAAGCAGTACACCGGGCTGCTATGCTTTCAGTTTCTGCTTTACCTTTTTATTAATGTATAATTTTATTTTTTCCTGAAATTTGAATGCAACTTTCATTTTTGTTTTCAGAATTATTCCAGGGCTGACGTTACCTGCTCTCCTTCTTTGAAAGAGAGGAATATGGGCACGCTGGAATTTTTCAGTCACTTCTTCAAACTTCTGTTTTCTCTGCTGCAGGATTCTTTCTCTGATTTGATACTCTCTTTCTTCCTGTTCTCTGAGTTTCTCTTCGAAAGCTCTACATTTAAGATATAAAGGAAATAGGAGAGATAGACAAGAAGCTGAATAAAACAGAATAGATGGTTTGAAAAGTTTTTATTTTACTCAGAGGAAACAAATTTCAGATTTTAAACAAGCCACTGGCTAAGAATTTAAATGTTTGTAAAATAGTAATTTCAGACCATGATTCAGTTTTTTTTGTAACTGAGAGAAGGTTCTGCAGTGAGGCCCCTTTCTGATTTTTCAGGCCTGCTAATGTACCCTGCTGGGCAAAAAGCCTTTTCTAAGAGCCACACTGATTCTGGTACTTACTAGTGACAAAAGCAGCCTTGCAAATTACGAGGGAGTAAAAAAAAAAAAAATGACTTTTTCCTTTTACATAAAAAGTTTAAAATTAGCTGTCATATAAGTTTTATGTGCTTATGTTAAAAAGTTGGTTTTTATCTTCCTTTATAAATATGGAACCCAGAACTCTTCAGCAAAGTTACAAACATCTGCCCTGTAACGACCAGTTTTAAAAACTATTTACCATTGTTATGTGAGGTGAGTTGCCTATGCTACAAGTAACTAGTGGTGGTCAGAGGCCGACTCGGTGGCACCGGTTTGTTTCCTTCCATCTGTATGGGGTCCCAGGGGTCAAACCCAAGTTTCAGGTTTGCAAGGCAAACATCTTTATCTACTGAGCTATCTTGTCTGCCCCAAGTCCCCACTTCTCTTAACTTTCCTCTTTATTTCCTCTAGGCACTTTATTTTATCTTCTCTATTTTAGTTGTACTACCTTAAACAGTTAGTTTCACTCTTGTAAAATATGTGTTTGTATTACTCAAGACCTGTTTGATTAAAAGGAAGAATACAACGTCAGCCTGACACTGGTAGGAAAGCATCCAAAGGCACTACTTTATTGTGTATGAACTTGGGGGACAGCTGGATGAACTCTTTTAAGGTTCTTCCTGTTCCAGGTTACCATGGCCACTGTTAAAGGCCTGCCTTGTTTAAGAAACTGGGGGACAGAGCTTTAGATTTTCAAGAG